TTGCTATGATATGATTTGGACCGTTCTGCATATTATTGAAACATTTGGGGACCTCTACTGCAAATTTCCTTAAATAAAATGATAAACAGACCATTGCATCCTGACAAATCCGTAATGGCAACCTCATCCATAGCCAACCTCTTCTGCTTCTTCACACCATCAAAACCACCACCGTCGCCGCCGTTATCTACGCCGAGAAATCCACCGTCCCATCTCTCCGACACCACCATCACCACCTCCTTCAGAAAAGATGGATGGGCCCCACTTGTTTTATCCAATGAAAATGACTCAAACTCGCTATTATCATCGTCGTGCTCTTCGGACGTTATCTCTGCCGTGTGCCCCTCTCTTGCTTACTCAAACACACTTTTCTTCAGATCAGCATACAATGTTCAGGTCTTTGTTGATGACAATGAACCGGAGGAGAGGCTCCTGAACCGGTTCCGGAGAGAGGTGATGAAGGCCGGAGTCATTCAGGAATGCAAGCGTCGGAGGTTCTTTGAAAATACGCAAGATGAGAAGAAGCGCAAGTCCCGTGAGGCCGCCAAGCGCAATGGCCAAAGGTCCTCTCTCTCTCGTTTGGTATAATTAATTTGGGTTATATTTGTGAAACGTGATTGAGCCATTTGGCGTCTCCATACGGTTATTGAATCTTGGTTGCTTCAGTGCACTTTGAGTATATTTTCATGTAAATTCTAACAATAGGGGGAATTTATATTTCTTAAGGTGATACAATGGATTATTTAATCCAAATTTGGTTTAAACCTCATTTAATGAACCTCTTTGGTTAACCCCAAAATGAGAAATCTCATTCCATTAATATGGTAGATTTAAAGGGGAAGCCAAATGATAGCTTATCACGATGAGTTAATTAAATATGAGCAACCTAAACCGTGAATAGGGGGTTGCGGGAGAGCAATACAAGCGTCATCATAGTTCTTTGATGACAAGAAATTGGGAATTGAATTCATTATAGGATTTTGTTTTTCTTTTTTGAATTATAGCGAATATCATCATATTCTGTTACTTGCAAAATATCAAATGAAAGCTGAAACTTCTGAGACACAGAGTGATAAAGGGGAGTTGCATAGCATTCTTGCCGCCAATTCTGACATTAAAAGATCATTTTTATAGCCAGAGGGCGGCGAAAGAACGGGTAGGAAGACTAAACCTAGTGCCAAATTAAAGGCTAGAGGAAGAAGACTCGACTCAACTTGAAAGACTTGAAGCTTTTTGTAATTTACATATTCTTGTTTTGGTTTATATAGAATTAATGATATGATACTCGATTGTTCATTTGTTATAACAGGCGCTTTCAACCAAGAAGCAACACACAGAATAGGTCTGAGATCTCTAAGAACAAGAAGAAAGATGGGGAGGAAGATAACTGGGAACTTCCTGAAGGAGACATACCCTATTGATCTCACATTTTTTTAGTTTGCCTTTTCGGTTCATCGATCGCTCTTGCTGATTTCCCCCCTTTCTCTAAATTTAAGTTTCCTTGATTTGTCAATTACATTGTGTCTCGTGTGATTTTGGTTATGAAGATATCTACTTGTTCATTGCTTCAAAATGTCAATGCTGGTACTAATTTATTAAGTTGACGAAAAAATGAATCTGGTGTGTTGCTTATAGTCTTGTACGATGTGGGTTTTTTTGTATCTCTCCTCGTCTCTGTCTATGTATACGTACATATAGATGTATATGCTCATGTAAATATCTGATTGATCACTGAACTTAAGAGTCGTGTTACTCGTCCATCATTTTGGATGGATTCATTTTGTCTAAATTGAGCACATGACACATAGTAATCCGACGTAGCATAAACTAGGCGCTATTGTCTATGTGTTTTTTGGTTCACAAGGGAATATGTGAAATGGAAAATAAATGATTTTGGATTGATGATTTTATTGAATATCTTGGTTTCATGTGCCTATCTCAACACTGAGAATCTTGATTTCTTCTTACATTGTGCCATCTTCACCTTTCAGAATCCCCTGTTTTGTTACCATTATTCAATGAAATGAATTTTAGAATAATGAATTTTGGAGAATGTGTAAGAAAGTTTTGAGTTTACACGCAAAATATTTTATTTTATTGTGAAAATGTATGATTGAAAATGAGTTTGAGAAAAAAAAGTTTTAAAATAAATTTTCAATTTTATTAATTAGTACGCTTTTTTTGACATTAATCTTGGTTATAATGGAGTCTGGGGATTTTTCTAAATGGCCTATCACTATTTATTCTTGTCAAAATGTCTATAATACCCTTAATGAAATGGTTTGTTATATTTTGCACAAAATATCCTGATTTATTATGATAGTTCCAAAATTCTTCTATTTCTTTCATTTCGAATTTTAATATATAGTTCCATCCTTTGATCTAATAAATTAGCATAATCTGTAATATAATTGTCATATAATTCTTTAAGATTATCATATTCCTTAGACGATATATCCATAGTTTCTAGTTGAGAAAAAATATTTTTTATTTTTTCTAATAGTTTTTCTAACAGATTATCTAATCCCTTAATTGTATAGCCTGGCATCATATAGATAATTCCTTACAAGCTTTATGATAATAATAACATGATAGATAAGTTTTTGCAAGCATGATAAGTAATAATCCCTACGATTCTTTCAAGATATTAGAAGAATTCTTTCTAAATTTAACAAAGACAATAATTTTACCTTACTTTTGATCTTAAATCTGTATTCTTAGAACCGAGTGACCTTCAGGCTCTGAATCTGCAAACTGCTCCCTCAAACGGTCTTTTACCTCAATGGGAATTCTGCAATTTCAACTTCTTACCCTCACTGTATCTTTTCTTAGAATTAAGAATAAGGATCTTAAGTAAAGAAAATTCTCTCTTTGTTAAAGTAAGAAAGAGATTGTCTTTTTCAATCTATCAAGAATTTATGGGATAGGAAGTTTAGAAACTCATATTTTTCTGATATCAAAAGATTGAGATTTTATTTCTATAATGATTTATACAAGATTTCTATTGTATACAAGAGGTTTCCAGAAAAACTGGTTTTGAAGAAAGATTAAAGAAAGAAAATGGTTTCTAACTCGAGATGATCCATTCTCTCCCAAAGTCCTCTATTTATACATGACTCAATCTTACTATTATTGGTCTATTATATCATTGCATACATCAGAATTTGAAAAAAGGCTCACATGCCTCTCTATTTTTTCCCTTCTGGGGTCTACATTTTCACATGCATTTTTTTCTTTTTCATCAAAGGGCATCTTTTCCTCTATCATTGCCTCTCCATCTTTGGCTCCATATGCAGCTGGCTAAATGCTTTGGTAGTGGTAGGTCGCCTTTTATTTTTCTCCATTCATCTTTTATCTTGAAGAATCAATCTTTTAATCTTGTCTGCATGTGGGGCACTCCCTCAATTTGTATGATTCTTGGATTGTTGTAGGACTTCCATTAATTTGATAAGTATCAAATTTCTGGATATATTCTTTTAAAATAGTAGATTTTTCTTTTCCATTATTCGTAAGGAGTGTCCATCCTTCATATTGGCACAAACATCTAAATTTTTTATCATATAAGTTCTTTGCAATGTTGTAAAGAACTTTCATCCCCAAAACTCTTAGAGATTTTATCCATGATTTATTGATTTTAGGCAATGGTTTATTATTTCGGCCAACTTCAATCTGGAAATCTCGGCCAACATATCCAATTGTGATAATATATTCAGTAGGATAGTATATCCTTCCATCAATTTCGGGACTTATTGAATAAAATTTGATATAAATTGATCTCCCTTAGGCAAATTTTGAAACTTCTACCCTAAATATATCATCAAAATTTTTAATTTCTTTTAAATCTTTTCCTGGATAGATCAAATCCAGAAATCCATAATCTGCTGTCATTTTGACCATGAAAGGGTCTGCATCTTTGGTAATTATTAATCTGGAATAAACATGATCTCCCGATGCAATAAAATATGATTCATTTTCTTCCAATTCATAAACAATTTTGGCAAGTGATCTATATTCTTCTTCTTTTGATGATAAGGGGTATCATCATTTTCATCAGTTTTGATTCTGATAACTCTTGTATGTTCATCGCCATTTTTTATAGTCACCTTTCGGGGACTTGCTATGTTTCTTTTGATATTGCTGGGTCCACCGCTACTTCCTGGCTGTGTACCTTTTTGTATTTTTGAGATTATATCCATTGGTATTTCCTGTTTGGTATTTAATGACTCGAATTGTGAAGTAATATCAACAATTCTGGCATTCAATTCTTTGGTATATTTGGAATGAGAATTAGAGATTTCCACCAACAATTTGACATTTTGTTGGATAGATTCTGTCATTTGCTCTAATTGCTCAATTCCAATTTTCATATCTTCTGATTCTTCCATGAGGAATTTCATTCGTCTGTTGACGTCTATTAATGAATTTTTGATATTATCCATCTCCGAATTCAATATTCCTGCTCAAAAAATCTGCAAGATAATTATTTATTCCTTTAATATGAACAATATCAAAATTGTAGAATAATAAGTATGCTTGTCATCTGTGTAGCCTTCTATATTGAGGTTCCATAGGTAACTTATTTCTAATAAGTCCTGCAACTTGAGAATTATCAGTTTCAACAATAAATTTTTTAGATAAAATGAATAATGAAAACTTTTTTATTCCTCTAATAATTGCTAACAATTCTTTTTTATGAGTAGTATAATTTATTTCTACTTGATTAAAAGTTTCACTTGAATATCTGCATATTTCATTTAAATCTGTTTTTAATATAGCTGCCCAATATTTATCCGAGGCATCAGTATTAACAATTAAATTATTTTTTTCATCTGGTAATCTTAGTTTTGATAAATTTTTACATTCTTCTTTTAATGCTTTAATAATTTCAGTATGTTCTTTATTCCAACCTTTAGTATTTGTTTTTCTAAGTAGAATTTGTATCTTATGTCTCTTTTTTGAGAGATTTTCAATAAATCCTTCAGTATAGTTTAGACATCCTAAAAATTTTTGTATTTGTTCTTTGGATTTTAATTCTCTGGAAAGCTTTCTATCTTTTTAGATATATGAGTTTGTAATTTTATTTATTTTCTATCTATTGATAATCCCAGAAAATATATTTCTTGTTTCTCAATTATAGATTTCTTTTTAGAAAGTACAATTCCTTCCTTTTTACATTCATTTATGAATTGTAATAAATGATTCATATGTTCTTTTTTATTATTAGAGCATATTAATATATCATCTATATAAACAATAAGAAAATCACTATACTTTTTGAATATATTATCCATTTTNTATATGATAGTTTTTTATTTTTTAGTTCATCTTGTACTATTGGTCGTTTTTCCCATTTATCACCACGCTGGGCTGGCTGAACTTTGTAGGGTCTAAACTCTCTTGGTATTTTTAGTAGATGTGCACAAGGTGTTTGTAACATTATCATGTAATTATTTTATTTATAATATTGAAATTGTTGGATAAAATCATTTCCTAATAATACTTCACATTCTAACTTATTATAATTATATACTTTATTTATTATAACTTGTTTACTACCAAGTATTATATTAACTTTTTCAGCACTATCAATTATTTGAGTACTTTCTCCAGTCACTCCTGTTATCTTTATTTTACTATTTTTATTCCATGATTTTATTAAGAAATTTTTAAAAATTGTTATATCACTTCCTGTATCAATTAAGGCACAAGTTGTTATATTTGTTTCTACTATAGTAACTTGTATATAAACTGCTAATGGAAAACTTATTTGATTATTCATCCACTTCCTATTTTATATAATGTAGTTTGTCCTTTATGAGTTATATATAATCCTTCTCGTTTTATACTATAATCTTCTAATCCATTTAAGAAATTCATTCCTAATAATATATGAGGTTCAATATCCATACTTTCATCCAAATAACATGGTACTAAAAGATCAATCCCACCTATTTTTATTGGTACCTTTACCTTTAATTCTGTAATATATAGTTGTCCATCAAAATTCCTATACTCATATGGTTCTATCTTGTAAGTCATTAATCCTTCATTTTTATTTGCAGCTATATGACATTCACCAGCTCCTGTATCTATCAATATATTTGGTCCTTTTATATACCTTCTACCATTGAAATATTTTCCTTTTATTTTCATATTTCCAATATTCCCATGAGGTTTTATTTCTTTTAGACCACTAGTTTCTCCTAAATATTCTTTTTTATTAGGTAGTTTAAGACTTTTTGATTTCTTTATCAACCTTCCATTATGAAATGTTATTTTATAATCTTCTTTTTCTCTTAACTTTGTTATTTCAGGCTTAATTTTAGTTATATTAAATTCATATTCTTCTGGGATAAGATTTATTTGTTTGTTTGGTTCCACTATTTTACTAATATCCTTACATTCCTTATGAATTTCTATATATGGTTTATTAAAATAAATATTCCCATCATTAGAATTAGTAAATGTGTATAATGCCTTATATTCCATAATCATAATTTTATCTCCTGGTTCCATTATATCATTTCTATGAAATTTGAAATGTAATCCTAAGACTTCATTAAAGTTTTTATCTTTCAATGAGACACAATATTTTGGGTAACAGGTAAATATTAACTTTTGATATACTAAATTTCATT